CAAGTGCCTTAGGCATTATGCCACCAGAGCGCCTATTTGCAAGCTGGTACATGTTTATTTCAAAGATTCTGAAAATGGAGGATGAAAATTTCATTCAAGGGGTCACGTTCTTAATTCCTCCTTAATACTTGCAAGCTAGATGGCTTTGTCATATCTTATAGCAGAAGGATTGGTTTTAGAAATGTGTTTTACTCCTCCTTCCTCTCATGCTTCAGAAAAAGTTGCGCTGGTAAAAGCTCTCTCTGTGCTGATGGAATTTGCTGTGGATGGAGGCATATTCGTTGCTACTCAGATGCAAAGCTCTCAATAGTTTCTCTAAGTTTAAATCATTGCACAAACTTCAATTCCATTTCATCTCCCAGCCTTCACTGCATTAGCCGTCTACCCTCTCCCCCACAACCCCCCAAAACAAAACCAACCTCCCTGCCATCTAGTCACTTTTGACTCATAGCGACCCTCCCTGGGTTTCCAAGGCTATGAATCTTTATAGAAGCAGACCGCCTCATCTTTCTCCCACAAAGTGGGTAGTAGGTTTGTAACTGCCAACCTTTTGGTTAGCAGCCAAATGCCTTAACCACTTACACCACCACAGCAGAGGAAAGCTTTAAAAATGTGTGTCCTTTTCATATTCTAATTTGCCTCCCTCTAAAAGATGCAGTTTAGGTATTTTCTCCTTGGATTCCATCACGTCTGCCGCAAGCTGGCATCACCCATTTCAGTGCATGCTAAATTAGAAGCCTGTGTGTGTCTAATGAGGGTTTGTCTGAAGACAGACCGAGTTGGACCCTAAAATCACATCAGTTAAAACCGGTTGCTGTTGTTTGCTGCCCTGGAGTTGCCCCCCAATGAGGGTGACCCCGAGCACCACAGAGGGGGATGCCACCAGCCCTGCACCAACCTCCTGGTCAGCTGTGGAGTGAACCACTGTCGACCACAGGGTTCTCACCGGCTGATTTCCGCAGTCGATTGCCAGGCCTTTCTCCTTACTCTTACCTGGAAGCTCTGCTGAAACCTGTCCAGCCTGCTAGCAACATATAAGCCTCCACCGAGAGATGGCTGGTGACTGCACATGACGTGGGCTGGCCAGGACTCGAACCCAGCTCTCCTGCGTGCAAGCTCAGAATTCCACCAACGAACCACCACTGCACCAGGTAAGACTGAACTCTTGCAGACCACATCCCCCACCAAACATCACCACCACCAGATGCTTTGGGTGACAGCTTTCAACATACGGAATGGAAAAATTGCTCAAGGAGGAGGTCACAGACGCCTAGAGGAACTTGGCCCTCTGTGAGTCTGCTTCTAGCCCCCTTTGAAAAATACTGTCCGAACAAGGAGGGCCATCAGATATGAATGGCCTGCCTCAGAGGTAAACTAACTACAGGGAGTGTTTTTGTCCCAAGGCAAACCAAACCCACTGCCATTATAGTCAATTCTGACTCATAGTGGCCCCCCACAGGGTCTGCAAGGCTGTCAATCTTCACAGAAGCAAAGCCCAAACCACACCCACTGCC